ACAGATCAGGATTTGTCAGCACCTGTCCAAGGCTTCAAAGTCCCACCCCTCCGTCAACTCACACATCTGGAAGAAAGACTTCCCGATGTGTTTTGACTTGGTGTCAAAAGTGGCTGAGATTGTGAGTTTCCCCTTCCTCTATCTTTTCCCCACATTTTCTCCACCTTTGTTACACACCCCTTTTGCATTTTGTGTGGGGGGGTTGGCTTCTTCTTTGCTGCTACATGCAGTTTTGAGATCTTTGCATTCTTACATGTGTGATTTTGGACTCTTGTCCCTGTTTCTCTTGCACACCTTTGTGCCTTTCTTTGTGGCCGAGCACGCTGTGTGCTCACCTTGTGCTTCCTGGACTCTTGTCCTCTTGGCATGTGCCCATGCCTCTCCTGCACTCCTCTATGTATTTCTGGCTGTTGAGCCCTTTGCATGCCCTCTCTGTGCTTTCTACATTTTGTGTTTCTTTCTTCAAAGTCTTCTCGACTTCCTGCCCTTGCTGGTCATTTATCCTTCTTTCTTTCATGACACTTTCTTTCGTTATCTGTCTTCTTCTTCCTCTTCACCCTACCATGCACATCTTGTGCTCATCCAAATGCTACTCTAGATTACTCTTGCCCCTCCTGGTACCCAGGCTTGTACTCTGGACATTGCAAAATTCCATTGTACCTGCCCTGTGCTGCCTTCTCACAAGCCTTGGCTTGTTGTCCAGGGTGTCCCTGGTCAAATTTTCATCGATCATGCCCATCCTTTCAGCACTGCTTGTGCTAGTAGCAACACGGGCATGATCACTAATGCCATTGTTGATATTTGGTGTGGAGGGGGTTTTCCCTATCCCTAAATATGAGGATGACTTGAAAGTCTTCCGAATTCCTTCCTCCATGGGCTCCTTCCATGAGAGTGACTTCTCTTATGACTACAACCATGCAGAAATGCTATGCCACATCGAAACCCTTGGCATTCCTTGGCACGACAAAAAAGGGGATGACCATTTCCTTTTCATCACCACCTTTATTGGTTTTCTTTGGGATATCCCTGGGAAACTCATTAGTTTGCCTGACAACAAGCATCTGAAATTGTTGCCACCTTCTCAATGTCGAAAAAATCCATGGCTCTTAGCCTTTGTGTACATGGATGGATGTTCACACCTGCCTTCCCTTTCTAACTTTGCATCTTCCTTCCACAACAATGAGATTATCGCTAGGCATCCTCCTCACTCAATGATGACTGACCTCTTTTGGTGGCTCCAGAGACTTGAGGTAGGGGGGGCCTCTTGTGGCTCTCTTCAAGATCTCAGTTTATATGTTGATGCCTCTATGTCCTGGGGTATTGGCATTATCATTGGTGACAGCTGGGCCTTTTTCCAACTCTCCCCTGTCTGTAAAGTTCCTGGCAGAGATATTTGTTGGCTTGAAACCCTCGCAATTGAGTTTCTTGTTTACTTTCTGGAGGACATGGGCCTCCAGCATTGCTGCTTGCTTATTCACTCCAACAACCAGGGCACTATCAGTGTGTTGGATAAAGGGCATAGCCCTAACTCTCACAATCATCTCTCTCTCTGCTGTACTTATCTTGTTCTATCTGATCTTTCTATTACTCCAGAAATTGTCTACATCGAATCCGAGGCTAATCCAACTGACTCCATCTCACATGGAGAACTAGGGAAGGTTGGGAAGCAGATTTTCCCTACTTTCAAGCTCCCTGCAGAGCTCTCTGATTCCTTCCTTCATGTTTAGCCTCAACCATAAACTCACATTGTCGACCAGTGTCACTGAGAGGTCTGTGGGTGAGACGCAATCTCATCTCTCTTTCTCACCATGCCCCATGTGTCCTTGAAATTCCTTCCACCCGTTCCAACACCCTCCTTCTTCCTCTTCTCCTCATTATGATCTATCTGGGCATTTGTGACTGTCAACAGACATGCCTGCACAAGCAACTCAGTTCCATCACCATTCACATCAAGCAGGACATTGTTGGATATTGAATAACAGAACGTGATGGAGAACGGCATCATGCTGTTGAAGTGCCTGGCCCTCAAGAGAATGACGTGATTATGTACCCATGTGATGTTGGTTCAAAATCATTGAAGAAAAATTTTCTTCCTCTCCATCGATCATGCCACTGGCTTTGGGTTCATTGTTCCATCCACTCTCATAGCTGGCATAAACAGACAAGTTATCCAGATGCAACACCCTGCTGACTCGATTGACTTTGACCTATGCTTCATGACAACATGTGAAAATGCTGATTTTGAATTGGAAGCTGCAAACTTTGAGCAGTGGGTGACTATGGGATTGTGGATGTCATATTTTCTGAACTCAGGTGCATAGTTTATTCTGCTCAACTTGATACTGCTTGTTGACGATTGTACAGCACCTATGTCCTGACAACTGTCACTGGGTGTGTCATGTCATCAAATCCAGTGCAACAGTCACTATGCCT